TCATGTATACATGTAAGTCACCCCATTTGAAACCCGTACTAAAGGCCCACGAAGGCCCATATCTCTTCATCCATTACTAGCTCATAATTTTACCTATATGCTAGCACTTCATAAATACTTTTTTAACAGACTCACATTTTGTTTATTTTTTTTATCAATAACAGTATATTATTGCCATACATTAAAAATCCCCAAATTAAAGCTTTGAATACAAATGGTTTCGATCCTTGGATCATTTGTTTTTCCTCTGTGGTAAAGATAAGAGCAAAGGATTCTTGTGGTCCTTTATTGCCATATATGTATATATTTCGGTACGAGTATTTTCGTGGAACTGCCAACTGTCAATAAGTCTTTACACTGTCGGCACTCATGACACCCGTTCCGATGCCGGTTCCATCCCGCCGCCATCACTTAACCTCTTCCAACGCACCCCGTCCGCATACCCAAGTTTTTTGTGCTCCCGTTTTTTCCAGCGTTTTCAAATTAAACTTAAACTTTTTTCATTTCCATTCAGAACACATAGAAAAACTCCCGAGGAACCCCCTCGATCCCGGCGATTCTGCTGCGCACATGCGTTTCAATTCCACATTTTTTTTCAGCTGGTGGGTCTGATTCCTGGTATGCCGCGTGCTCAGCGTGTTGTTTGCTTATTTGAAGTTTCCGCAGGGAGCTGGGTTTTCGGTTCAGTCGAGTTGAGTTGGGAGTTGAGCTGTGCAGGGAGTTATCGGGGAGTTTCGGGGGCGATACGGGACCCGGGGCGGCGGACGGAGCCAACGAGCGCGCAATATTAAATCGTCTGTATTGTTTACAATCAGAAAGCGTTTTATAGACTTTATATAGACGAGCGAGTCAACAGAACGAGTCAAACGAAAGCAGGGGCAACATATTGATTCGAGTTCCTATTCTGCAGAATTCTATGGTCGCGGCCACCAGGGAGTCACAGTTGAGCGATTTCTGCTTCGACTTTGCCTTGGCAAATTCCCCAGTCGGCAAAAGTCACGTTTTAATCGTCGTACGTATCGCCCAAATCATTAATCAAAATTAAACAATAATTATTTGCCCGAAATCGCAGTCACCAGACACAGGGAGATATGTTTGCGTTTTTCTTCAGGTGTTTCTTGGGTGTATTTTTTTTGTTTGTGGGTGCGGCGAAGGCTGCAAAAATATACTTTGAGCGGTTTTAATTGAGCTTTAATTATGCCTAATTAAGCGTGGAAATAAGTTTTTTCCCTTGGCTTTCTTGGTCGTTTTTTTGCATATCACTTTACTCTTTTTTCGGCAGCGTGTGAACACCATTAACATATTGAGCACTGTGGCAAATGGTATGAAGATTACCCACATAACCAAAATAATTAAGACGTTTGCGGGGATAATTAGTCTTTCTGGGTGATTTGAAAGAGATTTCTAGTAATTTAGAATTCACATTATTTTAGAGGATGATAACGGAAAATATACACAGAAAGATACAGTGCATTGTTCTTGAATTGAGAACATTCGTTCTTAAAATCCGTGTAAGTACATTTTGGTATCATTGTTCTCAATACTAGAACGAAATGGTTTAGAAAAGAAAAGCTGAATTGAGTTTATTTAACAACTTTTACTTATGGTTTATTTGTTGAGATATAAAACTTGAACCGAGCAAAATGAAAACATTTTCAACTTCAAAAATGTCGTTCTATATTTAAGAACATTTTCAACTCAGAAGAGGACGTCAGAACTTTCTAACTTTAACTTTAATAGCTTCCAGCTACTAAATTTTAGTTATTCTTAAGTTTTTTTCGAAAAAATATGATTTTTGTTTTATAATTTTTTACCAAATCTTATATTTAACTAGAAAGGAAGTACAAACTCTGTCCCAATACCCTACTGCCCGAAAGAGCACAACATTTGTCCCTAGGTCATCCGTTTTTCGCCCTCATTTAAAGTTCTGAAACTGCGTTAAGTGCCCCATAACTGTAATCCATACAGCACATATCAACTGCGAAGACCAACAAGAACTCTATTTTGTTTGATAAACAGAAAGGGAATGCCAGCACAATCCCCGGGGTCTAAAAACACGAACGGATAGTGTGGGGCCAACACAAAGTAATTGATTGTTTATGGTCATACAATTTATGTGTGCCACAACATCGGGGGGGAAAGAGGGAGGGCAGTGGAAAATATTGACCATTTGCAAAACGATAATTCAAAATGTTAAATCGACAATTTCAATTTGAGGCGGGAAGTGGGGGCTGCGTTCCCCGGAGACTGCGGCACTCGCACTGAAACTTCGCACATGACTCCCCGGCTGTAAATATAAACATAAACCCTCCACTTAATAAAGGCGAGTGCCCTGCCACGCCCCCCGTTAACCCCAGCTGGCCCCGCTGGAATCAATCGAACGTGTAATAAAATGCAATTTTTGCAACGACCAGTCGTCTCCAACTCGGCCGATAAAACGCCTGAGTTTTTCCTTGGCTCCTCCTAGCTCGAAACGCATTTTATCGACCTCCGGGGGAAAGGGCATAGCCCTTTGGCACTTTAGGGTTCAATTGCTGTGTAAATGCTACTACTGTTTCTCCGCCAATCCCCGAACCCCTCACCTTCGGCTGGCCAGTAAAAATTCAAACAGTTACAAGTTTATCGAGCCAACCAGAAAGTACAATACCAAATTATACTCCAAACTGTTGGTCATTGTTGCTGCCACTTGTTTGTTGTTATTATTTACAAGCAATTTAAACAATCTGTTTGCTCTCTGGGGTTTTCTCCACATTTTTTCATAGTTAACAGCCATGTAAGCCCAGCATGGAAACCTTGATTTTTATTGTTGTTTAAAATTATGGTTCATAAAAGAACTTTATTTTGTGCTCGGATAATCAATATGAACAAGGAATCGATTTGCAGTTTTGAAAAACAATATAGTACCATCATGTTATAACAATAAATATGAACTACTGAAAGTAGTTGTATTATTTTTTGCAAAAACGTATAAGCTCGAAGGATCCCATATAAAAATTGAAAACATCCTATATTTTTTTGGCACACTTAATCATTCGTTAACAAAAATAAGAGTATAAATAATTGTTTTTAATGCTATACCTTTCTTTTCCTTCGTTCTTAGCGACACAAACTATTCTTTTTCGAATATCAATAAATAAACAATAAAATGTACATCAGTAAAGTTGGAAAACATTATAATACCATCTTGTTAGAACAATAAATATAACCTTCGTAAAGTAGTTGTAACTTTTTTTTGCAGAAACTTATAAGATCGTAACCTTATAATGCTACATGATCCTATATATAACTCCAAATAATCATATATTTTGAGCCCCACTTAATCATTTTTAAACATAAATGCGAGTATAAATAATGGTTTTTAATATTATACCTTTCCTTCCCTTCGTTCTCAGCATCACAGCTGAAAATTCGCAATAATATTTTGGCATACTACTCGTGTAGCCGTCCCGGCTTGTCCGGTTATATAATCGATTAGTCACGGTCGATTTCATTAATTTTCATAAACAAATTTGTTCAAGTTCTCTGCCAGCACCGCCCGTCCTTCAACCGACCCCCGATTCTTTTGGCAATGTATTGAAAAGTAAATAATGCAATTTGCTACGCAAAAAATTACTCAAGGAGAGACCTTTTGTGCCTGACTTCCGGATCTGCTGCAGTTGAGCAATTATGTAATTTTTAATAGTCGCCATCGGGGGCCAAGAGCGGTACGCATTTTACGAGCGCAAAGAGGGGTTGCTTGTAAATGTCAAAGTATAATTTATTATTGTCAGCTGGTGGAGAGCAAACCCCCGGCTATAAAATGATGGACAATGGCTTAAAATTTGTACAAAATGTAATTTTGCTGAAATAAAAATGGGTTTCACAATGTTCTGTGATTGAAAAATGTATATAATATATAATATATAATATATATACTAATATATAATACAGTTTGGTATAAACTCGTTAGTTACAAGATATCGATACTGAAAAGATTACAAAGTAGTGAGAGTGGTGGTATAATATATCCGATATGCTTCACGGATTTCATTTCGCACTCACGTTCTTCGACTAACCCACTTGAGGACTTTTCCTGGCAACATTTCACCCCGTGGCCCACCCTACGTGTTAATTGTGGCAACTGCTCTGCTGTGACTTCTGTCCATTCAACTTGGCCACTTGTACGTGTGGCGAGCGGGAAAACTGCAAAGAAAACTCGGAAATAAAATATGACAGTCCCGAGCACATGGGACGGCGCTCACATAAACTCCGGGCAGCTGGGGGTTAAGGATTTTCGGGAAAGCGTTTAGTGCTCGATGCGCCATAAACATGTGGATTTAACTAGCTGGCTAGTTGGAAAACAGGGCGAAATGTCCTTTCACAGATGCTTTTTTCGCCCTCAGCTTAAAACATTTCAGGGGTAAAGTTTACTTTAAAAAGATCCCAAAATGTAGTCCCACTAAGATATTAATATAAACACTTGTTGGAAACTTGAACAAAATACAACTATCATTTCAGAAGTTTATAAAAATGATTTAAATTATAGTTATGTAATTACTTTTCTATAAATATTTAAAAATAAATATACATATTATTTTATTGTTTTTAGTAAAATTTGAAGACGTCTATCGGTTTAAATTGCTTTAATATATTTATCGTAAAGAAAGATGTAGGAAAATCTTTTTGCGCCAGTTTAAAAGCAAACGATCTTAAATGTTTCATATTAAAGGGTACGTAAATGTATTTTGTGATAGACTGACCGTTGAAAACACTTCCTGATTCCTGAGGTAGGTAGCTCTCTTCGTTCTGGACGTCCAATCCTTTTTGTCGAGCCCCTCTTTAATTAGCGAGGCCGTTCCTGCGGGTTATCCCTCCCACTTGAAGGACACTTGTCAGCACCTCCCCGATGGAATACTCTCCTCTGGTCAGTCGCAGTGACCCTCGGTCGTTGCCCCATATAGGGGCTAAAAAATTAAAAAACAAAAAGTGAGCAGCTGGAAACCGGAGACCATCAGCGGGTCCGAAAACCGAAACCATTCCCGACTCCCAACTCCCGACTGGAGGAGGCTGCCCCACTTGAGCTGCGCTTTTTCAACTTTGTTGGCGGACTCTTTTATGACGGCAATGGGGATGAACTGACCACCGGCTAGTTGGGTTCGCACTACTTGAAACGAAACCGCAACTTAATAATTTTTGCTTCTGCGGCAATTAAAAATTTTTACCTTATTTGCTCCAGTTTTTCATCTCTTTTTTCGGTTTTATGGAGCCAGGACTGGGCTATCTGTTTCAGTGCAACATTTTGTGCATGGTCATTTGCTTTTCGCCCTCGGCCGCCTCAGTCCGCCAAGTTGCGATGTTACTAATTAAAAACGCAAATGGGTTTATGATGTTGCACAAGTTGTGGTTGCCTTGGGGGCGGGGGTGAGGGCATTATTTTTTACTGCTGTCGCTGCAGAATTGTAACATGACAAAAAAGCTGAAAAGAAGTTATAAGGAAAAGCATAAAAAGAGTGTGGCATTAAAACAAATTTTTGCTCGCTTTTTTTTCGGGACAAATACAAAACAAGTCCTGCTGGGCTCCGTGGGTTTTCCAGCTTTTCCAGCTTTTCCCCCTTGCGGTTGCTTGCGGCGGCTGCTCCTTTTGTTGGGTTTTCCGGCCCAACTCCCTGCCTGCCCGGAAAGTCCTGGACCTCCACTGACTTTATCGCCATCCATCTCGGCGGTCTCCTTTCGGGGAACTGCGGACTCCTCCGCGCTTTTCACGCTTTTCACATTGCTCTGGCATGTTTTGTGTTTTATTAGCGTGAAAATTTCTCAAAGGTGTCAGCACTTTTTACGTTCTTGTTTTTGTCGTTTTTATTTTATTTTTTTTACTTGTTTTAAGCATTTCCAAGAAGTGGTTGACTTTGTTTTTAATGCCTTGCGAAATGTATATTTGCCCCAGCACAAATGAGATGTTAAGTGTTAAATGTATTCCTGGAAACTTTCGAGCGAGCTTATCATTAAAAATTTTAGTTTCCAATTTCCAGCTTTGAATGTGTAATAAATTATTTTTGGCAACTCTTACGTTAATCCCCCGTAAAAAGGGAATACTGTTAGCCGTTAGTTTCTCATTAAAGATTCCTTCGTCGGCAATTCCCTTAATGGCCAGCAGCCCTAAGCCCCAAGGCCAAAACCAAACCCAAGCTGACCGGAAATCCCCCACGCCCCTAGGCTGCCATTGTGTAATATCCGTTGACTATTATTCTAATTCATGCTGAAAATTAAAAAGCTGCCTATGAGCCCCTGACCCACCCCAACCCCAAAAACCCAACCCCAATCCCCTGGCCGACGTGTTTTTGTGCCAGTTCAGCGAGAATTTCATGCAAAATAAAACCCAAAAAAAAGGAACAGCCAAACCGAAAACGCCTTTTTGAATAGACGATGGCATTATGTTGTTTCTGGGGGCTTTTGCCATCCTTTCCCGCTTTTCTATTCAAAATAAAGCGACCGCATCAACGAAAAATGAAATAGCACCAAAATAATATTCAGTCTGTGTATGGAAATATGGAAAAAAAATTAACATATAAATTAGCAAGGCAGACAAAATGTTTGGGGTGAAGGTTTCTGAGGGAGAGACTCCTTTTGTTTTGAAAACAATTTTCGTGGCATAAATTTACGGCCGGCAATTAAAAATATTTTGTAATTCTTTTTAGCTGAATGCGAAAAATAATAAAAAATATAGAGGGTGAAACTTTAATTAAATTTGATACAATGTTTGGAATAATGGCATCAAGGAGCTGTGCGGGGACTTCCGATTTAATCGAGGACACTTTTGTTTTAGATTCAGGAATTTTTCTAAAGTTCGTATTTAAGCTTTTCTCAGTTTGATATTTTATAATCAATATTATATTATAGCGCATTAAAATGTGTACTCCTTTCATTTTCTTCAGCTTGATATTAATTAACACTTATAAAACCATAAGCCATTTAAAAAATGATTTCACACAGTCAAAAAATATAAAAATATAAGTAGGGTGACCATATAAAATGTTTTTGTATTAGTGGAGATTTTTTTGTAGCTGTATAAGTATTAAATTTTTGACTTGTAGTATAGAATCTTGTTTACTTTATATTTTTAAAAGGGTTAACTTTATTCTATCCGAAAACCATTACACTCTGATCCTCGTACACCTTAATTTTAAAGCGATAACCGCACATCCTTGGCAACTTTCTGGCTTCCCGTTGTCCTTAACTCGGTATCCACATATTTACGGCCGCAACAATGTGCGCCTTGTGAAACAATTTATAACTTTTGCGCTTTTGCCTAATAAGTTGGCATGTTGTGGCCAATAAGTTGCGGCAACAGCAGCGGACATGCAGCGGAACTCGTTTCGAAACTAAATTACAAGTACGGCAGCAACAACAGCCGGCGGCAGCGGGATAGATGCTCTATTCCCGTCCTGCAACCACCCACTCTGGGCCCCCTTTCACCCACTTTCACCGCCCCCTCTTCGTCCTTGCACACCGATGCACATCTTGCCAACAAGTTGAGCGTGTTGTTGTTGCTGCCTTAACTACTGTTAATTCTTCTAATTGTGTGTACGTTGTTTGCGTGCGCTAATGTCGCATATGCACAAGCAACATCAGCGACATCAGCCGGAGTCGTCCTGCGGCAGGAGGGGCATGCAACTGTGCAACTGTTTATGCCACTCCGTTTCTCCCTCTGGAAGCTCTGGCGATGGCACCGTGAGAGGAGGCTAAAGCCCTATACCAAACAAGGTTTCAGTTCCTTACTAAACAAATTCCAGATTCCATTTTATAAAAACCCTATAAACCTTAAAACCCTATACCAAACAAGGTTCCAGTTCCTAACTAAACAAATTCCAAATTTAATTTTATAAAAACTGTATATCTACGGTTTTAAAAAAGGAAATATATTAATATAGTTAAAATATATATAAATATTATTATATATAACTATAAAATATAATTAATTTTTAGTCTTATACATTTTGAAAATTCCTTTAAATGCACAATAAGCCAAACTAAATCTTAAATAAATATATAAATCATAGATTACAGTTTACATACCTTCCCTATGTGATAAATTGATCAAATGGAATCCTAATGTTCCTATTTGAGACTCATTAAACAAACTACCTACAAGGTTTTTCAACTTTTGAAGTAAAGGAAAATGTATAAATACGCTAGCCAAGCTATGAATATCAGCAAAAAACTCATTTTAACTGTTAAATATTATATAATGAGGTTATAAAAATACCGTATAAATACTAATATATGGATAATAGCCAAAAAAGGAAAAAATATTTACTATCAACACAATACACAGTTAAGGAAAATGGCACAATATCATTATTGTTTCAATAGTTTTCCCGGTGATATAGAGTCTTAAACACAAATAGTGAACATTACATTATACTTATTATTTAATGTTCTTAAAGACATTAAATTGTATTTGCAATATTTGCCATAATGGACTACAAAATAATTTAAATAAATCTAGTAGATACTATCATAGTTCGTGTCACTACTTGTTAGTTCCACCAGTTCGCTTCAGGTTGTTGCAGACTGTCGCATCTCTTGACAACTTGCATGGCAGCAGCAGGAGGGGTCGCACTGCCAAGGGCGTCGAAAGGGGGCTGTGGGGCCAGGGTGACCCTGTCGCTTATTAGCGCAAAACGCTGCACGTTGGGAGTGTGTGTTGGGGCATGAGTGCGTGAGTCCGTGTTTTTGTTATTGTTAAATGTAATTAAATTATGCAGATGAGTGCCATGCACTCCCTATGCAGCTTCAACTCTGCCGCCGCGGCATTAACCAAACTGCCATGGAAAAGTGTTTTTAGGTATTTGCATTTGACACCGACAAACACACTAGTTTTAGCCAAGTGCTCTGGCGTCCGGAATCGTTAGCAGATTGCTGAACAAGCTGCAAATTTCGGAAAATAAAAATAAAAAAATTCAGCTGGCAGCGGTGGGATTCGAACCCACGCCTCCGAGGAGACTGGTGCCTTAAACCAGCGCCTTAGACCGCTCGGCCACGCTACCTCTTATTTCAATGCGTAAAAATTGCTATTCAAAAGCAAACAGCCTATCCAAATAATAAATTAGGTAGAAATTATATAGAAAGAATTATAATTATGTATCTGAATCATCCCGCTAAAATCCAAAAATTTAAAACAACACCACTATTATTGTTAAGTTTGTTCTTTATTTGATTTTATCTTCTAGTTCTTGAACACTGTTGAATTTTCCATTTCTTCGCATTTGTATTTATCCATTACATTGAGAGAATTCCTTGCATGACTTCTTGATTTACTTCTTGTTTTAATGATACGATTAGACGCTGATCCACAAAATGTAGTTTCTTTTCGGCTACAATCTAGGTCTTGTTTATATTCTTATACCATTTCATCTGGCTTAGCTTGTTTAACTATGCTTGTCCCTTGTAATTTGCTTAAATTGTAGTTCAAATTGATTTAATTTATTTATAGTGGTTTTGTCGTATAACTAGATGAAAGTACTGTTTCGTTATGAAATATGAATATGAAATTTGCGTTTGAATAAGTTTTCAATTACATATGGTAAACTTTGTTGTTCCTTTATTTTTTTTTTTGTAGGTTACTTTTAACTCCCTTGTATTGGTTTTGCGATTTGTTCCATTAAATTGTTAAATATGTACAATCGATCAAACGGGTTGACGACTCGTTGCAGTGAAAAAGGAAAATCAAACCAAATGCTGAAACAAAAGTCTCCAGCCGAGGCTGGGGAAATGAAAAATGCAAAATGAAAACAACTTAAATTGTATGTTTTTTCGAGCATAGTTACTTTTTTTATTTACACGCATAATTCGTATATATAGATTTACTTTGTGTTTGTTTATGTTGCATAAATTGCTTATTCATATTTGTGAATGCGGCGTAGGTTCTACATGAATATTTCGGAGTTTTCAATAGGTTCAATAGCTATTTCCATTTTACACTGTGTAAACATCTTCTTTGTTTATTATTCCGATGAGTAGTTTATTCTTTACTGAGTCTATTAACTCTAAAAATCTGCTGCTTTCTATTTTTATTTTTGCGTATTTATTTTTTCATTGTTTTTGGAATATTTTTGTGATAGCTTTAGGCTAAATACATACATAGTTTTAATGACTGGTGCTTAAGCGCGTAGCTTATTTGTTATTTTATAAAGTAAAATTAATTGTTTGCTTGATTTTTTTTTGTATTGTTTTGAAGTTTTTGTTGATTTTTCTTGTCGCATTTATAGAGAAGCTTCTAATTATTTACAATAATTGAAATGCTTTTAAGCACAACTTAAGAATTAAGATCACTGTATGCAAATGAAATGGCCACTCGGCAGGTTGGTCGATTTTTGTTTTCTTTTTAGTTTTTGCCCAACCCACAGTGCCTGCCAAATTGTGCGCAAGATTTTCTTATATACACCTGCGTTTTTCCTGCGCTTTTCCTGGTCGACAACCTCTCGAACTAAATCCTAATTTATACAAAATGCTTTCGCTTGAATACACGTAACGTAGGAATATACAACTAGAGTATGAATATTCAGGCCTGTTTTGATTTTCCTCATGGATAGAATTAAGGGAAGTAAATATAAAATCACTAGGGTCTAGAAATCACTTTTAAATGTCATTTGAGGTGCCTGAAAGTATGCAGTGAACAACGGATAGTCAGATTTCCGAATCAAGTCCTTGTACTTTCAAGTTTAAAATATTTTATTGCATACTTTTAGACACCTTAA